CTGACCTTCTCCAGGATGGAGCAATTCCTTTGTTATCTGAAGATAACAAGCCCATTCAGGTGCCAACAGTCTCTAATAGTCCATCTATTCATAGACAGAGAAACCAGTTCCACTCCCTTTTTTCCCCGTGAAACGTTTGTGAGATAAAGGAACAACAGAAGATGGTGCCGGAACATAAGGGTGGAAATCACTTATAAAATGAACCTTCCTCTCTGAGGAGGGAAGTGTTACTGTTCAGGTAACATTGGAATGGCAGTGCTACTCCAGGATGTGCTGTGGAACTCATGTAGGACATCGTTTTACATCACAGAGCCTCAGCTGTTTGCAAAATGGAAACGATGCTTTCCTAACCTCTGGGAAGCATCTATTCTGAGGATGGCAATTGCTGTCAATCAGCCTTATAAATAAAAATTTGAAACCTCAAAAAAAGACACAGTTCATCTCTGGGCATCAGAACAGCCCCTAGTCCAGTGCCCTGACTGCCAGCAGACAAGACCTAAGGAAGAGCTGAAGAACAGGATGAGGAGCTGGAAACATTGCCCCAGGAACTAACTCCCTTTCAAAAAGAGTATTGCCATGTCAAGATGAGGTGAAAGCCCAGGTGAGAGTTTCAGCATGCAGAGAAATGAGACAGCAGCACAACAGTTTTGCTTGGGGTACAGATTTACACCATCAGGGATGAGGAAAGAGCACTGCTCACAACCAAGAATGGAGCCAAGGGAGGAGACAGTGGAGGACATCTGGAGGTTTCAATGAAGAAGAGCAGTGTGGGACATATGCTACTAATTTTCTTAGTTAATAAGGTAGTTTAGTTCCATTTACCAATAAACTCCACATCCTGCACACTACATCCTGAGCTATAAATATGGAGTTCTGGCAGTGGACAACAAACACCTACCTCTGCTTCTTTCTGCTTTTCAAATACTCAGGAGACTTCAAGGGGATGGACAAGCATTGCACCCAGGCAAGCCCTGATCAGGCACAAGGATTCCTAAGGAAGCAAAAGTTAAGTTCTTAGCCTTTCTTAACAAAGGTTCTTCCACCACAAGGGCGGTGCAGCACTGAGGCACTAGTCAGAGAGACTGTGGGATCTTCATCCTTGGATATTTTGCCTCGACAAGGCCCTGAGCAACCCAATCTGGCTTGGCCCTGCTGTGAGCAGTGGATTGGACTAGACTGCTTCCAACCTAACTCTTTCTATGAGCAGTGTTTCCCCCAGACCTGTGTATATTTACGTGCACTAAAACAGCTGAGGGGCAGCACCACCCTTTAGGGGGCAAAAGGTCATGCACTGGAAGTTGTGTCTGCCTGTTAACTCCAGCTCCAGAATCAGGGAAAACAGCAATGGAGAAAAGGGTGTCCTAGTGGAGAGTGAAAAGCAAAATGCTGCAGAAGTAAGGGAGCAGAGATGCAGAGAGTGGAGGGCATTTCCTCTGCCAGCCCTTGAGAAATCCCTCCCCATTGCCCAGCTGCTGCTGAAGGGCTTTGCCCCTGTGGAGTGATGGAGGAGCTCTGGGAGCTCTCCAGGGGCAGCAGCAGTGGATTTTGCAGAGACCTGTGAGAATTTCTTTCCACTTCAACAGGATGGCAGCTATCATTTCACCAGCCTTCCTGTCTCTGCCCAAACAACCTTCTCACCCGCAGCAGGAGTTTTTCCCCAGACCAAACAGAAATCTCTTCAGACCTTTGGATGCAACTCAGACAAAGCACACCTGATTTCACCATGCCTAGCAAGGTACCCCAGTCAGTCAAAAACTGCTGGGAGCTGAAATCTGAAATAGCTGGGGCTTGAGCTTGAAACAAGGATGTTTGTCACCCCATTGCACAGAGTTACTAAGACCTTGATTGCCCATCACTCACTCAAGTGCCCAGCAAAGCCTCAACAAGGGCAGCAATGCTGAGCATGAGATTTTGGGGGAGTTCACGGGTGAGAGGGTTTTCACACTGCCCACTATGCCTTAAACCTCAATAAAATCATTTGTTCAAAAGCCATGTGGCACCTGGCAAGTGTCTGAAGACTCTGGCTGTAAGTGCCACTGGGAAAAGGGGGGACACCTTTCAAAATGCTTCCATTTCATCATTAACTTTAACATGTATACATCTTTGGAGTACATTGGTGCTGGGACACTCCATTTTAGGACTAAAATACTGCATTCCCAAAAGACAAGGAGAGAAAAAAGAATTCAATGCTAGTACTGCGTTCAGGTGGTCATTAATATTATATGCAATGTAAAATTTTAAGCTATTATGTTTCAAAAGCAATTATTCCAGGTGTAGGTGTAATTGCCACAGACTAGAATAGTAAGATATCCAAACTATTTATCCATGGGAATAGCTTTTAATTCAGCAGTTTTGGAAGAAGAAATTAAAAAGTAAAATTGTTTACCTCAGTAGAGAACATTTATTTGCACTGTTTTATTTTATGTTAGTATGGTTTTGGGGAGTTTATTTGTTTTTATTTTTTTGTTTCCTTGTCAGGCGATAAAAGTTTATTCATTGTTTGTTTGATCATATTAAGAAGAAGGAAATCAACAGATTTAGAGAGTTTTCTGGAATGCAAAGGGGACATCCAAAATACTGTATCAACCGGTTATTTAAGCTGGAATACTTGTGACCCTAATATTTCTTCATGGACAGTTTTTGATGCTTTTACAGAGTTAACAAGCCAAGCTTTTCTTCCCTTTAAAAATCCACCTGTTTTCAGAACTTGGATGTGCTCTACACATCTGCACACAATGCGAAGACCGACTTATCCCCAGCACATACTCATTCACCTGGCTTCCAAACCATAATCCCATACTGATGTAGCTCTATATTAAATGTCTCATTCCTGGCCAGACAATATATGCCTCATATGTTTCTGCAAACTATTCAGCACGGGAACCTGTGTCAGGATAATTCTCCTACCTTTAAAATACAGCTGCTCCTGGAAGTAAATATTTAGCAGCTCACAGTAACGTTAAGACAACCAAGAAGTGCAGGATCCCTTCCCAACTCCCCATAAAAGCAGCAATTTGCTCTGGAGGTCTTCCCCTCCCCTTCCCTGTTTGCATAGACCTGGCCATGCTACACATGTGTATTAAATCTAAAATCTTTGTCTCAGTGTAGACAGAAAGAAAGTAAAATGGAACTGAAGCTTCACATTTGTTTTAGCAAGAGGAAAACCACATGGATCAACACTGAGAGACTACAGAGAAAAGTCAGAGCATTACTTTTGAAGGAAGGAGGGTATGTCACAGCAAGATGCTTTAAAAATTGGAGATCAGCTAAAGGTTTGGGGACAGAGAGTCTTTTATTGATGTCTCCTAACAGTCTGGAAAGAAAAAAAAAATTGTTCATTCAATGTTGAAGTTCTTGAACTACACTGATAAGAACACCCCGGAAGGCAGGGAAATCACCCAACAGAATTAAAGAGGTTAACAGCAAAGTCATTTAAAGCAGAAAAGGAAGCTGATTCATAAGTAGTGAGGAGAAAAAAAAAACAACAGGGATTGTCACCTTTAACTCCTGTCATAATATTAATGGTGAAATAGATACCAATGGTTCATACCTGTAATTTGTCAGAACTGTTCTTGCTCTTTCAAATATCAGCTCCAAAAGCAAGGAAAAAAAGAAAGAAAGAAAGAAAGAAAAAAAAAAAGAAAACGATAGAAGACTGATGGTGTTTATGCACAGTTCTGCATACCAGGGACCTGATCCTGTAAAATGTGCCACGAGCGAGCTTTCCCTTTCAGTTGACTTCCTGGCGTGTGGGAGGCACCTGTTCTGTTCCTACTCCCTGGAAAGGAACAGCAGCCTTATCACCTGGCTCACCCAGGAGAGGATCGAGCACTGGCTACAAAGTGCTACTGTGGCACCCCTGCAAGATAAGGCTGTGGCACCAGGGGAGTCAAGCAGCACACAATTTTCCCTGTCTCCTATACAGCGAGAAAAATCCCAATCCTAGGCTTAAAGCTCCAGCAGAAAATTTCTCATCGGTTTCAGCTCCTTTGCTTCAGGAAAAACTGCAAGATCTCACCTTGATTCTGCAGTTCTCCGTTACCACAGGTTACAGGTTCTCTAGAGATTCACAGATCCAGTAATTGTAAAGCCAGAACACATCACAGGGATTATGTATTTGATAAACCCACACAGTAACTCCTCCTTCAGCTCAGTGAGTGGAATTTGTGGCAGAACATACTTTTTTAAGTTTTAACCTCATGTAACCTTAAAGACACAGCTCTAAATGAAACAGAAGGGATTAAGGAAACTTGCAGTTGACAAGTTCACTTCGCTGTTTGCCTAAATGTGGTACCTACTACCTCTACTATCCTAAATCTCCCTGAATTTCTCATTCATGTCAAACCTGGGAGTGTCTTTGGGCTAACTGTGATGAATTTACTAGGTCTTCCAGCCTAAAATTTGAGTCCCAGGTACATGATCATTTTTGTAGCTGTTTTTTGACTCCCTTCCCATCTTGCCTAACAAAGAAATGTGAATGGATTTGCGCACTCCTTGCACAAACACAGTTTTTTCTAATTATTGCTCTGAAGAAGTTCAAGCTAAGGAATGAGGAAAGCTAAAGAAGAAACTGCATAAAGCAGAAAGAAGTGATCAATTCAAAATATGTTAATCAATCAACAAGAATTCATTAGTTAATGCTGTTAACTGTTGTGCCTGCATGAAATCTCCCTGCCAAAAATAATTTTATTACAGGGTATATTTCACCTGTTCAGTACTTATGTTCTCTAAGGTGGCTGTTAATTATAAAGCTGCCATCACACAGGTTTTGGGTTGAAAATCACCTGTACAATTAAAATACTCCTTGAAGACACATGGCTTATGAGCAGCAGACCCTGTGGTATCCAAATCTTTTTCTAGTCTTTCATCCAAAACCAGAGGAAATAAAAGGTTATTTTTATCATGTTGTTCCTGTTGAATGCACGGCACAGAATTATACAATTTACCTTTGAACAGCTAAAAATCAGATATACCAAAAAACAAAAACCGAACTACCAGGATAGACTGTTTCCAGCGATTGATGCTGGAATAATTTTATTTCAAATCTATTGCACATTTTAATATTCACGGTGTTTGTTTGCTTTCAGGGCTTTCCTCAGCTTGGACAGTGGAAACACGTTCATCTGTTTCTTTCTTGGCTTCCAGTCGGTTTCACTTTCAGATTCTCATGTTTCACACTCCAGCCTTCAGGTTTCAAGCACTGCGAGGGTTACTTATTTCATTTAAACAAACAAAAAACCTGCGGCCGCAGGGCACACACACGCAATGTGTCTATTGGTCTGCAAAGCTTGAGCCCATCCTGTCCACTGAAGCATCTTCACGATTTTTCTCTGGGATTTGCAGAGAGAAGAGATTAAATAGGAGTGATGATGAAAAAAGGATCTATTAAAAAAAAAAAGAAAAAATAATAACAAACAAGAGTTTTGCAGGGTTCTCAGACTGACCTCAATAAAACATCATTACATCTCGCCGATTGCATGATTAATGTCGGATTAATGATGAGGAGCCGCGACACCGGACTTGATGCCCTGAAGGAGTGACCCAAGACCTAAATAGTGACGGCGGCATTGCCACTCGGCGGCTGCGGTGGGGTTTGGGAGCAGGACAGCCCCTTTCCCACGGGGCCGCGGGGGTGGGAGGGCGGCGGGGCCTGTCCCGGGAAGCGGATTTCCCAGGAGCGCGGTTCTTCCGCGGGAGCGCCCGCCCGGGGCTGCGCCCACTCCGGGGCTACTTAATTTAATCATTTATGCTTTTAAATGGTTGAAGCAGCTCAGCAAAAGCAGGGCAGCGAGTGCGAAAAGAGGGGGGGTTTTTTTTGTTCTTTTTGTTTGTCGGTTTGGGGTGGTTTGTTTGTTTGTTTGTTTGTTTTGCGGGGGAGTTTTTTTGTTTGTTTGGGGTTCTTGGTGGGGTTTTTTTGGGTTTTTTTCGGTTGTGTTGTGTTTTTGTTTTTTTTTTTTTTCCGGAGGAAGGGTGGTATTTAACATATGGCACTCGGTAATCTCTACACGGAGGCTGTTAAAACATCTGCTGCCTCCCAACGCGTGCGGCAGCGCCCGTGGGCACGGGGACAAGGCGAAGGGGCATCTCGGGCACAGCCGCGCTTCCCAGGGCCGGTGTTTCCCAGCTGGAAACGGGCACTGCGCCTATAAAAGTCGTCGCACCGGGGCAAAGAGTTTGGGGTTTGTTTTTTCGTTTTCTTTTTTCGCCTTTTTTTTTTTTTTTTTTCCACGACGTTGCTGCAGATCAACGGCAGCTCCTCGTGCAGAGCTGGCATGATTCCATTTATTGATTTAGGGAGGGTGGTTTTTCTTTCCTAACGGGACACCCCCATCGCGCACATACACAAAGCAAGGTGGCCCTTGGCTGCTCCCCCGGCCGCCGCCCCATCGCGGGGTGCGGGGGCTCGCCCGCATCCCTTCCCCTCCGTGCCCCAGACATCACCCCACTTCGGAAAGTCGGTGCCGGACAATTAGGACACCCGTTATCCTCCTCCCCCCCCCCCCCCCCCCCCCCCCCCCCCGAAACCCACATAAATCACAATCGCTGCATTGTCGGGCTACAAAGCCAGACGGGAGCGCTTATGAATTTAAGTTTGGAGAAGGAAAACGTGCGCTGACACAACACGCTCCCTGTTCACAGGAGTAGCCAGGAAGGGGAAATGAATGGTGGAAGTTAAAGAGCCTTTCATTGCGGAGCGCGGCGGGTCCCCGCTCACCGCCCTTGACGGACGGCAGGGGGGTGCCCCCTCTGCGCTCCCTTCCTTCGCCCTCCCGAAAACGCGAGCCTTGCCAGGCAAAGCTCAGCCCGATTCCGCCCCCGGTAAGCCTGCGGCTCGGGGGGGTGCGGCTCTGCGAGGGGCCACACACGGTGCCCGGCGGCTCCCGGCGTTTCGCGGACGGGACGAGGGGGCGGCGGGGATGATTTTGCGGGAGGATGCTGCTACTCGGCCCGTCCCGGCTTTATTGGGGGTTGGGGGCGGCGAGAGGAGGGCGGACCACACTCCTGCTGGGCTTTTTTGGTGGTCAAGTAGCCCTTTGCTCCGACGGGAGTCCCAGCCAGTTTCTGCCAAGGAAGCCTCGCTGCTTGACTCCGACGGGAGTCGGCGAAGCCGGTCCCACCCCTCCCATCCTCTTGGACGCGGAGGGCCGAGGGCTGGCGTGGGAGGGGGCAAGTGTGCCCACTCGCGGGCATCCACGGCCGCTCACCCCATTTGCCCCCGGTGCAGCTGCCGGGATCGGGCGGTGCATTCAGGTGAGGGAACTCCCCTAGCCCCCATCCCTCCGGATGCCTGCTCTCGACGCCGGAGCATCAAGCGTCCTTAAAATATAATCTGCCCGGTAACAATCAGCGCGCAGCGGCGAGAGCCCCAGAGCCATTGGCTATGCAAATAGCGGGAGGGGAAGCGGCGCCCCAAACTCCCCCCGCTCGCACTTTTAAGGCGGTATTTCGATGCCTGCCGCTCCCCCCCGCTCCCCCAGCCCACCCTCCGTGCCGCCCAGGGGCGGGGGGCCGCGGGGCGGCCGCTGCGGGCACCCAGCGCCCCGCACGCCCCGGCAGCGCTTTTCCCCTTCGGGAGCCTCCGCTCTGCTGCAGCCGCCGGAGACTCCGCGGAGTTGACACATTTTGCAGCTCCGACCAAGTGCGAGCAGGGTGGAAGTCACCCGGTGCGGGACGTAACCCCTCTCACCTCCCCCTCCGCTCCCCCAGCCAACCTTTCTCCCTCCTTCCTCTCTCCCTCCCTCCGCCGCTGGGTTTCCTAGAAAGTTATATCAGTGTGGCCATGCAGCGCTAAGGCGGTTCGCGTGCTCGAAACACGTCTATGTGCCGCAGGAAGTAGCGTGGTGGTTGTTAGATTTCGCCCCAAAAGGCGCCGCGGAACCCCCACCCCTCAAGGAGTGGGGTTTTTTTTTTTGAGGTTCTACCCCTCTCCGGCTGCAGATTAAGGAGGTGCCGAAGCGGGGAGGGCGAGACGTGTATCTGGCACTCTGCTACGCCAGTACGTTTCCCGTTGGGTACCGAGGGGAGCCCACAATTCCTCGCAATGAGAGGGAAATAGATTGGGACGGGCTCCCGCAGAAGGAAAAGTGTGGAGCGCAATTAATTTGGTTGCTAGAAGGAAGAAAGAGAGAAGCTGTCATTCGTGTGTGTGTGTGTCCCTATACGAGGGCCTCTTGGTTCCTTGTTAGCTTATTGAGAGGGAGGGGAAAAAAAAGCGTTTGATGTTACGTCTGACCAGCTGCTGTTCTCCATAATAACAAGAGAGAGAGAACTGCCTGCCCTGACGAGTTGCGTCACTTCGCTTCAACTTTAGGCTAGAAATCAAGAGAGAGGGAGAGACAACTTTCAAGTGAGGCAGGAGCGAGCTGGAAAGCCCTGTCTCCTCCCACCCACCTACCCTGTCTTCCTCCCACCCACCTACCCCTCCTCCTTTACCCCTCTCCTTTCCCCACCCCTTCCCCCCCCTCCAAAAAGAAAAAAAAAAAAAAAAAAAAAAAAACAAAAAAAAAAAAAAAAAAAAAAAAAAAAAAAAAAAAAAAAAAAAAAAAAGAAAAAAACCTTTCCCATCAGAGAAAGAGGGAGATCTCTTTGGAAACATGGAGCTGCTGTGCTGCGAGGTGGACCCCATGAGGAGAGCTCTGCCCGACCCGAACTTGCTCTACGATGACCGCGTTTTGCACAACTTACTAACCATAGAGGAGAGGTATCTGCCCCAGTGCTCCTACTTCAAGTGCGTCCAGAAGGACATCCAGCCCTTCATGAGGAGGATGGTGGCCACTTGGATGCTGGAGGTTTGTACACCCTGGGAGCGGGGGGGAGGCAGAGCGGCCCCGTCCCCTCTCCCCCTGCAGCCCCCTCGCCCCTCCGCTCGCCGTGGGGTTCCTTCTTGTTCCTTCTCCCCCGCTTCCTGAGCTCCCCCGGTGCGGGAAGGGGCGCGGGGGCACCAGCAGCCTGCGGGGGAAGTCGCCCCTTCCGGGGGGCTCCGTGGAGCGGGTGCAGGAGAGGGGAGGAAACGCGGCGTGCTGGGGATGGGGGTGGTGGTGGTGGTGGGTGAGTTGGAAAAGTCATTTGCAGTTAAAAAGCAAAGCCGCCTCCGGGAGCGCTTGAGTTCGAGGCATTCCTGGGAAAAGCGAGTTGCGCCCGGGGCAGGGCGAGGGTCGGGGGGTCCCCCCGCGTTTTGCCCGGCGAGGGTTCCATGCCCACGTATGCACTGGGTAGGACGTGCCTGTTCCTCGCCATGTTGCGCTGCATGCGGGCTCTGCTCGCCGGCGCCGAGCCCGGCTTCCCCCCTTTTCCTTTTCCAGGGGGTCGGGAATGCCTCCCCGGCCCCGCGGAGCGGGACCCCCGGGCAGTCGGGGTCCCGGCGGGCGGGCGCCGAGCCCCCCGTTCGCCCCGATGCCCCGGGCGGTGCTGCCGCGGGCCCAGAGCCCCGCAGCCCCGCCGCCCATCCTTTGCCCCTTCGCATCTCCTTCGGGGGGCACCTTTCCCTGTCCAGACCCCCCGGGTCGTAAAGACCAGACTCCCCGCTTGGTTTTCGTGTGAGATTTGTAGTTTTTCTCCGCGGCGCCGATTTTTGGTGAATTTTTGAAAGAATTTCGCCCCTCGCTCCCTGTGCTAAAAGGATCCAGGCGGCTCGGGCTCTCCCCACCCCACCTCGCCTTCGCTGCGTCTCTCCCGTCCTTTCCCCCCCACCGCGGGATCGGGGGCGCAGGGCTGGCGGACACCCCGCGGGGAAATTTTTGCAATTGTCGGAAACGATAGGGGAACGTTCCGGGATGCCGCCGGCCCCAAAACCGGGACCCCTGGGGATGTTTTGATATTTTTTATCGATTTTTTGAAAATATGACGAAATAAAAAAAGGAAAAAATTGGGTCGCAAAAAAAAAAAAAAGTCGGAGGCTGCTCTCTTGCTGCTGGATGGGGCTTTTCGGCTCTCCCACACAGTGTCTTGAATTCATTTCTTACTGAATGAACTAAAGGAATGTGAAAGCCGATTGACAGCCTTCCCAGCGTCTCCGGAGATCTCCCCCTCCCCCAAAATTTAGCTCCCCGGGAAACAAAAATAGCAGGAGCCAAAGCAAGGGAGGCAGTGGGTTTGTTTCGTGGGTTCATTCATTTATTTATTTTTTCCTTCTTGTCTCTTTCTCTCTTCCCATCCCTTCTATGTGCCCCCCCTCTGACCCCATCCATCCCTCCCCACGCTCCTCGCCTGCAGGTCTGCGAAGAGCAGAAGTGCGAAGAAGAAGTTTTCCCTCTGGCCATGAATTACTTGGACAGATTCTTAGCTGTGGTGCCCACTCGGAAGTGCCATCTGCAGCTGCTGGGGGCAGTGTGCATGTTCCTGGCCTCCAAGCTGAAAGAGACAATCCCCCTCACAGCCGAGAAGCTGTGCATATACACGGACAATTCCATCAAACCCCAAGAGCTGCTGGTAAGCAGCCCCCTTATTCCCTCCTCTTTGGCAGTGCCAGCATCGCTTCCCTGCCCTTCGCTGGCACCCATCACTTTGCCACCCATCTCCTCGCTTTTTTTAAAAAAAAAAAAAAAGCAACCCCACACTTTCCCCAGGTTTCTGAATGGCCAGAAAGCACTACAACCCGCGGGGGGTCAACCAGAGTGGCAGGGGGACACACACACACGGGGACATCCCCTGCCCTCTGAAGCTGCCTGGCCGTGCCATGCCGGCGCTCAGACCTCCTTCCCGCCTCATGCGGGAAACCCTGGGGTTGCCAGGGTTGCCGTGGGGTGCTGTGGCTGCCGGGAGGATGTGTGCGTGTCCCGCTGTCCGTGTGTCCCGGGGGTGTCCCGGGGCTGTCCCTCTGTCCTGTCCCGCGGGGACACCTCGCCGGGCGCACGTGCGCGGGGCGGGCGGCGCGGCGGCGCCACCTGGCGGCAGCAACGCGGCCGTGCCGGGAGCGGGCGGGGGCGGCTCCCTGAGGAATTCGGGGGGATCCGCCTTGGTGGGGACGTGGGAAGGGGTGGCTCCGGTGCCCCTCGCGGTGGGTGTTGCCTGCGGGCTATCGCCGAGGCCGGTGATATACGTGTGTGTGTAAATGTCATCTTCAGAGAGGGCGGACCGGCCTCTGCTCGGGGGTGCCCAGCAATGGGACAAGAGGCCACGGGCAGGAACTGATGCCTGGGAAGTTACAGCTGAACATGAGCAAGAACTTCTTTTCTGTCCAGTGACCAAGCACTGGAACAGATTGCCCAGAGAGGGTGTAGAATCTCCCTCGCTGGGGATATTCCAGAACCCTCGGGACACAATCCTGTGCCATGTGCTCTGGGATGGCCCTGCTGGAGCAGGGAAGTGGGACTGGATGCCGCACTGTGGTCCCTCCCAGCTTGACCCATCCTGTGTCTGTTAAACCATCCTGTGCCTGCTAATTCTCCATGGAGGGCTCAGCCCAGACACAGAGAGAGCAGAAACAAACTGAAAATTATTGAAGGGAATAGCTAATAGTTTTTGAAGGGGATAACTAACATTTACCTGGTGGTGCAGGGGGTGCTGGGCATGCACAAGATCCCCTTGGTGACATGGATGCTCTGTCACAGAGATGCAAGTAGCCATCCATCTGAATCCCAGGAGAATTTCTCCTATGAATCACTGAGAATTTAAAGAGATTCACATGGCCATCTGAATCCCAGGAGAATTTCTCCTCTGAATCACTGGGAATTCCCCCTGGGGAGGGGCTGGGAGCTCATGCTTCCTCAGAGGAAAGAGGCTTGCCCTGCAAAGGCTGCAAACTCATGGACATGCGTTGTCCCCTTGGTAATATGGACTGGCAGAGGAAGTGCTGTGGTGCCCATAGGAGAAGATGCAGAATGATGTCCCTACTTTTTTGTAGGATTTAGGCATGTGTTTTAATTGCTTCTCTGTATTCAGTCCTCTAGATTTACTGTTCCACGTCGCGTCAGAAATATTGGGAAGAGCAGTCTTTAGTTTACGTAATTGCCATTACGTTCAAACATTTTACAGGTTTTCTTGAGAAAGGAAAAAAAATCCCCACCTGGTTTTTGTGGCCTTTTGCTTGCATGTGGATGTGAGACTTTTCAGGCTGTGGAGGGCTCTGTCATAATCCAGTAGGAATGTCCATAGGGAAGGTAAAGCGGGCATCTATTCAGGGAAACGGCTGCAGGAATGGCATCGTGGGGTCCGTGTTTATGGTTTCTCAGTAACACTGGTTGATGTCTCCTCGGCTGCAAAATTAAAGGATTGCTTTTTCAATTTGCCAGCTCCACGAGCTCAGCTGGGGCTCCCCCACCACACCTGGCTCTGTCAGGGTTGTGCATCCTCGGGACGCAGGAATCAGCGCGTGGAATTTAGTGAACACCAAATAGCTGGTGGATGAGACAACAAACAAGTTGGAGGCCTGAGCTTTGTTCACTCTGTGGGGCACTGAAAGGTGTTATAAACTTAGTTTAGGTCTAGCCCTGCTTGAACCCTGGGGCTGGATCTGGTGATTGGGCACCATTCCCACATGGAATCCCATTGCGGGGAATGGCCAGTAGTTACATACACGCCCAAGTTTTCCTTTGATTTTGCTGGGAGTTTTGGGTGTGCGAAGAATGTGGGAATGGATCCTGCATGATTTACTGGCAGATAATTTACACAGGCTACTTCTTGGCTGTGTCGTTTGCATTTCCTTCCTGCAAAGCCTGTCTTGAAGTAGTTTAAGCACCATCACATTTATCTGCAGGACATTTTGAATACAGTTTTGGGAGGGAATGCCGTCAAGCTAACTTCCCAGTTTTGACAAAAAGGAATGTATATCTAGGTTATTTTTGTGCATGACTATCCCTAGGGCTTTAAATGGCTATAAAGAAAGGACTATAGCCATTTAAAAGAAGTTACTAGGAAAGGACCACAGTGACCTTGGCAATATCTAATTGCAGGCTAAACTTTCTGGGTGGGCATTCAGCACTGGATGCAAAAAAAAAAAAAAAAAGTAAAACCTTGGCAGGAGCTGCCAGATCTCATTATTTTCAGTAGAGCTTGACATTTCTGGTGTTTGAAGAAAAAAAAGAATATAAAGTCAACAACTTCAAAGCAGTAGAGGCGTATGGAAAAAAAGGTTTGAGCAAAACCAATTTAGCAGTGATAAAGTTATAATCAGAGAAATAAGTGAAGTAGGGTTGGTTTATTTTTTCAGTTTTGCTTATGGCTTTTCTTCTCTTCCTTCTGCTGCAGGAATGGGAGCTGGTGGTGCTAGGGAAGTTGAAGTGGAACCTTGCAGCCGTCACCCCTCATGATTTCATCGAACACATCCTAAGGAAGGTGCCTCTCCCTAAAGACAAGTTGCTTTTGATCCGGAAGCATGCGCAGACCTTCATTGCCCTTTGTGCAACAGGTAGGGCTGAGGGGCTCTGGGTACTTGCTGTGAAGTTGAAAGGGCAGATTTGTTACTGGTGGTACATCATCCCCTCCATCCATACACGATGTGGGAGCAGCTTCTGAATCCCATGGGACTGTTGTGAATCAGGCCCCCATTTACGGTGTAAAACCAGAATTCCTGCAGTGGGGAGCTGTGGTTCAACTGCAGTCCTGCTCCTGCAGTGCTTGTGCAGTGAAGTCTGTAAGGCTGGGTTAGACCATTCTGTTCTCTGCCCATTCACTGATTTTTTTGAAGATTGTTTGTAAGGACAGATGTGGGACAGCCAAAATACTGGAAGCTGTTATAGTACATTAGCCCAAAATATATTGGGCTAATGCATTGCATGAATGTGTTCTTAAATTTTTCACTAACTGGACTCTGTCCAGATAAAAGGTAAAAATGGTATCTTAACGTGTGTGATACTACCACATCCCTGAAACAGAGGGAATGACAATTCAGAACGTAATGACTTTTTAAAAAAAAAAAAAAAATTTGGATTCTTTTTCTAACTTGACTCCCAAGAAAGCAGCGAAACAAATGTGTTTCATATGGAACATTACACTACCTTTGTGTCGTATGGCTGAATACGGTTTCTGAAGGTTTAAATGAGGATCATTGCTTCTGTGGAAAAGAGGCTTTTTAATTTATACCTGTGTGCAAATCAGTTTTTGTTTGGTTGGTTTTTTTGGTGGTGGGCTTTTTTTCCCTCAGTGAATTTTAGAATTTTCATCCAAAGGGTTAATGGTAAGACCATTTTTTGGAAGCCAGACCTGGAACAGATAGACAGCATGCTGTATTTTCCAGAGTTATTATCAAGTAGTGTATGGCTCAGTGTTTGAATTCAGTAGTTTGACCTATCTAGTCCTTTGTGATAGTAACTGTTCTGCTTGTGTGTTTGCACAGAGGAAAGGAAGACTGGGTGTAGCTTTTGGGTTTGAATGTCTGCTGCTGCTTCTTGGTATTTAATAGGTAGTGACTGCATTTAAAATGTAGGCCAGTTTTTCCTACCCCTGTTGGTCAGTTTTAGAGAATTGTATATGGGCTGTCTTAGGGTGATTGATTTTCTGGTTACCATGATGCTCAAGCTTTCCCTCCTTTTCCCTCTGCTCCATGATCCCTTTTCACACAAAAGCCCACAGGGCTCGATAGAAATATTGCTCAAATTCTGTAGGATCACTCTTGGTAATTTATCAGCCATTTCAGACTAATCAACTTTATACTTTAGCATTAATATGTTCAATCAGCTTTGCCTTCGTTCTTTGCCTCCTCCCCTTACTCATAATTCATTCACACTGCCTTTCCCATGGGTATTTCTCTGGATCCTCACAACACCATCAGCCATCAACCTCCAACACATCTGCGTGTGGTCTTCCAAACCAGACCAGTCTTCCCTCTCCTTTGTTGCTTTCACTTCCTACAATAGTGTTTTGGTTTGTATTTTTTTATCCAAGAGGACATTTTCTTGAGTGCCCTAGAATTTCATTATGCTTTAACTTTTCAAATTCTGGTCTATAATCCTTTGCCCATGAAGTTTCCCATAAAACCAAACCATTGCGAGACTGGGGGCCGTGAAAGAGTCTCCAAAGTCTATGTTTTCTTTCCACTCCATGAATTCTCTGATAGTTAGCTCCATGCTTTAGTAGTCCTTTCACTGAGATCCAAATTTTCCATCCCTTAAGCCTAGTCATGCAGTTATCTCATGTGTTTCCCCCATGTGATCTGCCTCTCATGTTATATGTCTCCAATGCACGAACTGAAGTCCTTTATGTAGAGTTTAAAGAGGCAGCAAATCCAAATGAAAGATATAATTCTGTGTACAGAGCTTCCCAAAAGTCAGGGCACTGTGGTGCTGGCTGTAGGTTTTCTTTTCTTCTCATCCCATTTTCCACAGACCACTGTGTTGGCATTTAGTTTTGAGGAGGATCCCCAACCCTTTGCCATTTTGAAAGCAGAGGTCTTACCCAAGCCCTCACTCCCACATTCTCAGTTTACCAGCGAACTCCTACCCCCATTTCCATTGTAGAAATGTTGTTACTAATGTATTTCCCTTTCACTGCCACTCTTTGAAGAAAAGCCCTTTCTCATCAGACTTCCTTCCAGATCCAGTTGTCATTTCCTTTTCTTGTCCTGTTTGTTGCAGAGCTCTCACCAGCTGTTCTGTTTGTTCTTTCTCTTTCTCCCTCAAAGCTGCTGCTCTCCACCAGCTTGGGTTAAGCCTGGTTTTTCATTTCCCCATTTGCGTTCTGTCAGCAGTATGACCTCCTCTGACGTGTGGCTGGCTCTTCCCTTGCTCCCTCCATGTGTGGTTGACTCTTTACTGTTCCCAGACCTGACCTTGCTGCCTGGCTCACAGCTCTGGTCTGGAGCACAGCAGTGAATCCTGATTCATCTCAGCACAGCTTTCTCTGCTTTCAAGTACTTTTTCTTTAGTGTATCGTGCAAAATCTGGCATATTTTGAACTTTATTCCTCTAGCCTGAGTTCTTCTTCACTGCCTGCTCCATTTTAATCTCCCAGCAAAAACATTATACCCAAAATTCCCAAGTGTTCCTTGCCTGTACAGAGCCAGCTGTGATCTCAGTCCTGCAAGACTTTGTGTCAGCAAACAGAGAGGGAAGCAACCATGAACAGTTACTGGGTGTTCTGCTGGATGTGTAGGATCGCTTTGATACTCATCTCTATTCTCCTTTCCCTGTGAACCTCCCTCAAAAGGAGATGATAACTCAGTTCTTCTGTGTATTCCTTTCAGTCATGTTTGATCATTTTGGCATTCTTTCCCTTTCTCTGCCTTTATTTTGAACCCAGTTCCTGAAACAAGCTGCCTGGATATAAACCCACAGCCTCTCCCCAGTCCTTGCAGTGATTAATGATTCACATGAGCATGACCGAAACTGGAATGTATCCCTCTTTGCCCTTGGTCCCATCTGAACACATGGCTGCTGAGCAAGACAGAAGCTTGTTCCCTGAATAATAAGTTTTCTCTTTCTGCTGCCCTGCACTTGCAATGGTCTCCATGAGAAGGGGGTGTAAGCAGCATCCACCCCCAGCCCAGGTGGTGCTGCCAGTGCCATGGCTGTGCAAACAGGGAGCTGTCATTGGGAGTGAGCTGATCTATTGGCTGGGAATTGCCCGTGTATAAGGACAACTTTCTTCCAGCTACCTTGCTCACTGCACAGTAAGACTGTGTAGATTGACATTATGCTCAGGCATAGCCTGGTCTGTCACCTTGTCATTCGTTTTCTCCTCCCACTGGTGGCTCCTTGTGCAAGGTAAAATCTCCCTCAGGAGGCTTCTGAAATTTAAAGGCATTGAGAGGCTGCATTTGGAGCCTTTGTCCTTACAATATGGCTTGGCAAAAGTGATGCCTGCTGCTTCTTTCTTACAAGGAGAGACTGCAGGAGCTGAGCCTGTTTAGTTTAGACAAGAGAAGACTGGGAGAGGAGCTGATCAATCCATAGAATTTTATATCTCAAAGGTGGATGCTGAGAGGATGGTGTCAGACTCTCTTCAGTAGTTGCCAGTGACAAGATGAGCAATGGCCATGAACTAAAACACAACGAGTTCCACCTCAGCATGAGGAAGAACTTCTTTACACTGAGGGTAGCAGAGCACTGGAACAGCTGCCCAGGGAGGTAATGGAGTCTTTGGAGACATTCCAACCCCACCTGGACACATTCCTGTGTCACCTGCTCCAGGTGACAGGGGGTTGGACTGGATGATCTCCAGAGGTCCATTCTAACCCTAACAATTCTGTGATTCTGTGATTCTTCAGGATGGGAGGATCCTGTTTAAGCCCAATGGAGATGTCCTTCTTTTGCTTGCTGGTATCGTGTTGCTTTTCCACTTTGCCCACACCTCCATCTGTCCATTGCTTGCACCCTTCATTCCCCATCTGGCTCTTTGCACAGCGCTCCACAGTTTGGAAATGTTTTTTCAGGGGTTGACTGTGTGCCTGTTCTGTGCTCCAAGCCAGGGAGTCACTCCTGGAGGAGTGGGAGAGGGCAGTGGTTACAGGGGTGTGTGTGGAACATGCCACACTGCTGCTGGAAAGAGAACCATGCATTGTTTCCTTGATTTCAGAGTGCCCTTCATTTCTTCTTCTCTCATCCTGTTCAGAGTCACAGATGTACAGCTGCTTCCCGGTGTTCCACTCTCTTCTTGGAGGCTGCACATGCCACTGCTTTGGTGCAGTATACCCCTTTCTGTGTGAGGGCCTGGAAGGGGCTGATGTGTTTTGGGGAAGGACAGCCTGTGCATGTCAGACTTTCAAGAAAAAGAACTGCCTGCTTCTGAACACGAGCTGTAATGGAGAGTCTCATCTCAGTGAGGAGCTTTGCAGGGTTTTAGTTGAGTGGAGTGCAAAACTTGGAAGGAAAAATCTTTGCAGACTTGCAGGGACAGAAGGCAACTTGTGTTAAACCCTGGACTCAGCCCTTTGCATGGTCTGTTCTCTGAATCCTACAGCGAGTAGGATGTTCTCATCATGGCTGCAGTGCAGCACCTCAGACCAGTGGCTTTCAGAGCCTGTGTCAGTGAAGGGTCTAAGAAAGAGTAGGAAAATTTCAGCTTTAAGTCAGTTTTGCACAGTGTGCCAAACCTCTGCCCACTGTCTCTGGGACATTAATCATCTGCACTTGAAAGCTGAGAAGCCTTTTCTTTAACTTCTGGGCCAAATCCTGTGTCCTTCACAGAAGTTCTGTGAAAGTCAGTGGGAGTGTTGTCTGAGCAAAGACTGCAAGATGAGGCCCACAACCCTAGCAGTGATCTGGAGTGTAACCACACAGAATGCTTTGTGACACAAAGAGGCGTGTTTGGTCCTCAGGACTCCTGCTGAGCAAGCCTTCTGTGCATCACCTTCTCATCCAGTGTAAGCTACCAGGCTCTGTCCCTGAAAGTGTGATACGAGTTTTATCTGGGACGTGTTCTTTGCAGAGGGAAAGAAAGAAGTCTGCAGAGGCTTCATTGTGTGAATTAATC